GCACGAGTAGGTTGTCTTTAGATTTTTGATTAGAGTCCAAAATAAACTATCGCTGATGTCAAGACAAAGCATTTTCTCTGACCAAAGAACTTCCTTATGTTGCTTGATTGATTTTCTAATTTCTCTGTTTAGCCGGTTAATGTCCCTTTTGATGGCCGGATCCCAAGTCAGGTGGTAGACTTTCCGGAGCCTGTTTCTCTGTTTAATATGGAGCCGGATATGTCTAAGAAGTCTAAAGAGGTTATCCTTGTTCGGAAGGCTTTCGCTTGCATGAATGACAAAGTTCTGTATAGTATTTGTCAGGGTACTGATAGCAGAGTCAATACCTTTCTCACTGCGTAAGTTAGTAAAGTTCAACACTCTGTCTTTCATCAGTTTTTCGAATAAAGTCCAATCCGTCACAGTACGAGTACTATTTACACAGATTTTAGAAATCCCAAGTATAGCTATAAGATAAGCTGTAAGATGGTCCGAGCTTAGCTCGTAAAGAACTTCGGTCACCACAGGAATAGTAGTGGTGGATAATAAAATATCCAGAATATCCGAATGTGCAATATTATTCGGGCGATAAGTGTACTCACTGGGTGCATGGAGTACGACAGGATGATTGAGGATATAGTTGTGCGAAATCCTTCCTTTTGTATTTGTTCGTCTATAGTTCCAGTCTAAGTGTTTAGAGTTAAAATCACCTGCTAGAAATGTAGGGGTGTCGGGGGGCAGTAGCAGATCCAACACACTTGCAGTTAACCTGTTTCCCGGCGGATTGCAGTATGAACTAAACTGCAAGTCATTGTAATATCGAAGATTTACACTCACAGTCACTAATTCACTATTATTATTTCTGTTTGTACTTATAAGACAGAAGCTGTGGCACTTTTTAACATATATCATGACACCGCCACCACGGTGACTAATTCAGTCGCATCTGTAGTTCTGTAGTTCGCAATTGATAAACGATGACACGACTGTCCATGCGTCTCTGTTATTATTCCGATATCAATATCATGCATAGGAAAGAAATGTTGAAGTTCTTGTACACGGTTTAGAAGCCCATTGGCATTCCAAATTGTCAGTCTGATGGGAGCAGCTATACGGATGTAATTATCCATTAAGAGTGGGGTTAACTGCGGATTCTTCAGGTTGATTATTTTTGTCACTACTGAGTTGCTTGAAGAGAAGAGGAATTCCTGAGCCCTTTATGAGGGAAATGAACATTTTCAGATCACTTAATATTTGTTTGGGCTCAGAGATGGATTCGGAAGCCAGCCGCTTGAGAGTGCCTGCGAGTATGATTTATTCACCACAACTCTTTCAGCATAGGCCTTCGTTTTCTGAATGGTCTTGGGAACTTTTCACAGCCGCGAAAATTTGACGTGTGTCCCTCAGCCAGACAGTTTGCACATCGCGGCGGTTCAGATTTTGCCTTGGTGCATTTGAAGGATTCATGAGCCTCATCGCATTTTACGCAACACGGCTTGTGGTGACAGTTGTTTGTTATTTGTTGTCAGGAGTGTGGTAAAACTCCTGACAACGATAACACTGCAGGGTCCCGAACGTCCTTCATATCTCTTGATATTGATTTTCATCCCTAGGATGTATTTTTCAGAATAAATCTCCTTGCTTTTGTCCTTATGTGCAAGGGTGACCAGAAACAAAGGCAGGTAAATAATTTCTCCATTTCTACGTCGGCTCATTTGATTTACCCGAATAACGTCGTATCCTTTTTTTTTATGAGTTCTTCTGCAATTTCGTCTACTTTCATATAGGCCGGCAAGCTTCTAGTCGCTATCTTGATGTTTTTACTTTCCGGTAGTTCAAATGAATGAAATCGAATTCCTTTATCTTTTAGAAATTTCGTCATCTGCCTGTAGATTGTTGGCAATTTGACTTGAATTTTAATCCCTCCTTGGATAGTCTGACCAAAATAGTCATGGAGGCTGAAGTTATGATTATTAAGCAAAGTTCTTAAGTTGGTTCCAATTGATATCGATCATCTTTCACAATTATCGGTGGCGGCTTTCGTCCTAATGCTCTAGGTGAAGTCGCTATTGGTCACGGAAACGGCCGTCAGTTTCAGGAGTCACTTCCATTTTCAGCTCCGTATCGCAGGGGACGCGAGGATCAGCAGCTGGCGAATCAGAAGCGTCGGTGATGGATTTCAGAGCAGGAACCTTCTTGATCGGTTAGCGAACCCGGTATGTGACATCTCCGCGCGGGCCTTCATCCGAGTCCGAACTTTCGTCCAGAGCCTTGTATTTAATGATGTCGTCGTCAGAATTTGCAGGACTGGATGCTTTTCTTGCATTGATTTTTGCAAAAGGAAGTGGTGGGAATTTCTCCTGGTCAATCAGTATGAGTTCTAGGAGCTTTAGTCTGATTCTTTCTTTGATTAAATTCCTGCTCAGCAAAAGCACGGAGACGTCTTAAAAGCGCGATATCTCGGGACTCATCGTTTGTAAGAAAACCTTTATCCTCCTGTACAAGGTTTGTGATTTCACAGCTTAATAAGTTAGATAATCGCTCCATAATGAAAGTAGTACTGGTACAGCAGCGAGGCCGTTTTACGGGTCTCTAAACACGAGGTTCAGCGAGACCAAACCTACATATATACTACACCAGTAAAGCAAAAGAGAGCGGCAGAAAAGCAGCAGCAAACAGAATAAGAGCTAGTCCGAGCGAGGGGTAGAGCACCTTCACGTTCCAGGTCTAACTCGAGTATATGGCTCCTAGGTACTATTTTGCTATTAAATGATGATGAAAAGAAGCATTGGTACTTTTCCGTTTCGCCAGCGCAAATCTCATCAAGCAGACTTTATTGGCGACACTATACAGGGTACACGTAAAAAATGTTAACAAATGTTAGTTCTAAAAATTTTTTATTTTGAATTCTTATGAATTCAACATTTTAATATCGTTTTAAATTTTATAAAAAGCCAATAAATAAAGATAGTGAATTTGTAAAAAGACATTAATTTAAGAATTTACTATGCTTTCATGGTACAGCATCCTGATTCGCTGTTTCATATCACGTGACCCAAAGTGATCTCATCTCGCGTAAATTGCGCTACAGAAATCTAATTCTCTCAGCAACTAACTGCATTAATTTCAAATTAAATCTTAATTTGGAATGCAAGTTTAAAATGCAAGAATTATTTCATTTCGTATGAATAGCTTACTCAGAAATTATGTAAAAACGCAGTGCTTTACTTCGCCAGTGCATTCTCATTAGAATTGATGACTTTAACCCTTGACTTTGTCTTTTCTATATTTTCGCCTTCGGGTGAGCGGTGTGATTGCATCTTAATTGACTTAATTAGCGCGAATGGCCTTAGGCCATAAAATTGAGCTACCTGCTAAAAATTTTATGTAATTTTATCACTAATTTATTATTACATAAAATCTAAAAATGACGTATTAGGATATTTGTTTTTATGTTATTATTCATGCTTAGATAAAACGCTAGTTTTCCGTTTTGCCGGCGCGAATGGCCTTAGGGCATAAAATTGAGCTATCTGGTAAAAATTCTATATAATTTTATGCCAGTATTGAAAGAAACAATCAATCTGATAACAGTAAAAGCCAGGCTTCGACTTGTTTTGAAAATGAGGCGAAAAGGTTACCAGAGAGGATATTCCGTTTGGCATCAGTTGTACCACTATTGGCGACTTTATCTCCTGCGCCGGCAAAACAGAAAAGTACAGAAGCATTTTATAAGAAAAAATGGTATGTATTATCCCGTCAATCTTGAAAGTTGTCTGCCACGAAATTGTGAAATTTGTGTCAGTTGTTCCTGCGATATTCTAAACAAACTGATGCCTGTTTATTTAATAAACGACCAGTATTCCTCCCAGTTTGTTTCTGTGCTTTGCTAAAACGCTTTTTTGTTATTTTATTATTTATTTTCTGCTATTTTTGTTAGACCTTCAGATTTTACTGGAAGCTCTGTTTTAAAACGCTATGAGTACAAACTTCTTGCAGGTTCTTCCAATCTATTATTGTTTTGTTGGTCAAATTCATCTGACCATATCATGTGCATTAATATGCACTTTATGTTAGACTCTCGTAACTTTCAAAATAATCCATTGTTGTTGTTGTAAAAGACAGGACCCAAATTTTAATCATTTGTTTCACAGTATAAGGAAAAAATACAGCAGTAACAGTTAATTTATATCCTTGTTTATAAAATAAAAGTGGCTTATCGAGAACCATTCGTGCTTCGTCAAGCAAAAGCGCAGATGTTATGAATGTGTTGTTGCGTCAAACTTATACATAACTGTTGCTAAATCGCGCAGCTTGGTGTGAATTTCATGGTCAACAGGATAACAGGTAAGTACAGAAAAAATTCTTTATATCCAATATTTACATTTTCGCAGCCAGTGAAATACTGTTTAGCGAAATGACCATTAAATATAGAACATGAAATTTGTGTGTAATCAAATATGTATGTGGTATGCGCATGCATATGTTAATTGTTGTGACATATATACTCAAAGATACGCCAAAATGGGCTGTTCTAAAGTTAAAATCGGGGTGCATATAATCCGAAAATATGCCAGCTTGTATCTCCAATGAGAAAACTTATTTTCATCATCAACTTGTTTCTATAAAATAAATATGATAAAATTTTTCTAAGAAATTTGTTTCTTACTCTAGTTGTTTCAATAAATAATGAATGAAATAGAATGACATCGTTAAAGACATTTAATTAATAGTACTTATTTTGTAAACAAAACAACGCTCAGAAAAAACAAGAATATTTATTAACAAGAACAATTATTAATGGAACGCCAATAGACAAGAACAATTATTAATTTAACACCAATAGACACGAACAATTATTAATGGAATATCCATTAAATTTAAATGGTGGCTAATAGTTGATGTTTGATGCATCTTGTTCTATAGTAGAACAGATCATACTTTTTTTAAAATCATGTCAGCAATTTTAATACTTTAATGTTTTTTATGATACCATGAATATATATTTGATTTCTTTTTTAAGGTAGAAGATATAAATGATATGTTTGCAGCAATGGACCAGAGGATATTAGATGTTATTGATACGCAACAAACAATTATAGAATTCTTTGAAACTGATGAAAGTAATGAATTTTTAAATAATCTTTTCTCTAAAAGTATCTAAAAATGAACAATAATTTTATCATTTTATATATATTGAAAAATTCTTTTTTTACAACCTTGTCATAACGTGATAGAATAAAACACATTTTTTTTTTTCGCCCATTTTTTTCTTTTTCCCTTTTAGCTTTTTTTCTTCATTTTCCTCCTACTCTAGATGAATATATTATAGTCTTTTTGCAAAACAGAAAACTGAATAACAGAAAAGCCTAGAATTTATAGTAAAATCATCCCAAAAAATGCTTTTCTGTTGTAGGAATTGATAATCTCTATTATTAAATAATGAAGAATTTATGCATGTGTGCTTGCCCCTCTCTTGGAAACACGGTGGCACTTAGAGTCACTAAATTTTGAGCAACATATTCCTTCATCTGAACATGTGCACCTCGAATTCTGAATTTTCAATTTGATTTTTATTTGTTTCATTTTTATATGAATTTAATGAATAGTTTAAAAACATTATGTTGCTACTCGGCAAACTAATATATTAATTTATCAGATTTCATCGGAAGAGTCTGTGCTTGAAAAGAAATGTACTGCTATTTGGCAAAGCCTCACATTTTACATTTAATCAACAAACTCAACAATTTAAAAGAAATATGTTGCCTCCACCTGAAGTAAAATATTTTTTATCTTCCCCATGCCAATTCAAAATGTATTTTTAAAATTTTTCTTTCAAAGCCAGTCTGTTACTGACTAGTAAACCAAGCAATTTAAAAGCAATAAGCACAATTCTTCGTTTCCGTTGTTATTAATTAGTAGAATTACCTGTGCAATTACACTATAGCTGAACTCATTAACACTCATTGTATATTTTTCTCCTAGCCCAAAAGAGTTATTTTCGAAACACAATTTTATGTTGTTTCACTTTTTATTTGAGTCTTGCCATTTGGCAAAATGTGAGATATTTATCTTTTAAATTTAAATAATTTAAATATTTCAAATTAAAAATTATTTTATTGATTTAAAAACTAGGCTAGTTAAAAGCAATAGATGCAGTTCTTAAAAATACCATTTTTTACTTTTTAATATGACTCTTTTAAATAAAAATGCATTTATTTCATAATATATCTAATTAAAAACATGAAATATATTTATAGAATTACATAACGTATTTTTTCAATTGTCAAATGCACAGAAGGTATATGATGCTCCTAGGTTAGCCAAAAAGTAAATTCATCTAGCATCATATAAAATGCTTCTCTATTTCACTCTGACCATCTCTACTGATTATCTTTACTGCTAAATGATATTAAATTTTAAATGAGCCCTTTTGGGTAGACATTAAAATTTGAACCCTTTCAGATTTATTAATTTTTATAATAACTACTTTAGGCAGTTGGCCGTGCAATTGGCCAATACCATAAAATATAGAAATATATTTACAAAGTCTTGACCTTTATGAGATATTTTAAAAGCAAAAATTGTATTTTGCAAAATATGCTGTAGATTTCAAAATGAGAGATCCATTCAGTTGAAATTTATTATTACACTTCAATAAAATTTTGTCAAATATACGAAATCAACTAGCTAAAAATTTGATATTAAATACATTAAATAATTGAAGATTCATAGAATTGGTCAATTTATTTCGATTAAATATTCAGGCTATTTTGCCATATTGCTTTCAGTTTATTTCTGTTCAACAAATACATCAGATTCATATATGATGATCTGTAATCATAAGAGATTGAAATAATGATTATTGAATTTTACATTGAAGAGCCAAAACATTATGACCACCTGCTTAATAACGCATTGTACGACCTTTGGCATGCAAAACAGCCATAACTTGCCTTGCTATGGATGCCACAAGTTCTTGGTAGATGACTGGAGGCAGGTTGTAACAAATATCTAAGCATTGGTTACACGAAGTCGAGATATTCCAACATGGTGATGTTTGAGATATGAGCTGCCGCTCCATTCCATCCCAAATGTGCTCTGTTGGGTTAAGATCTGGCGAGTTAGGTGACTAGGACCAAGGTCTGTAAAATGAAAAGGTTTGTGCATTCCGAAACTGAGACGTGGTGCACATGCATCAAATCTGAGCATCTGATGTTACAGGGAGACCAGAGTTGCAGGGTAAACACCAAGGCATTGTTTGGAATGCCGAACTTCCATGAAGTTCTCTATTTCCTGTGAGTGAGAATCTTTTTCCAAGGTTAGTAAATTTCCAATAGTTATTTTAATGCTATGTCATATTCACTTCTGTTTTATACCAAGTACCAAGCATCACTATTATCAAGTATTTTATGTTCATTACTAATTGTAAATAATAAGCTTAAGTTCAGAGCTTGTTGTAGAAGAATCTTGCATCTATTTGTGCCAAAACAACTTTACTAACAAACTTAAATTACAGAATAAAGATTATAAAAATATGTATATATACTATATATATTAATGTAACGTAACTGATACTTTTATATCGAAAGGTGAAAATATTTACTGAATATTTTTATATTATGGAATACTTATAATGCAGAAAATCATATTCTGATATTCTTTCTTTTAATTCAATTTTACTATATGCCTGGAATGCGATGTGCCATTGGTCTTTGCAACAACAGTTTAGGAAAACTAAAAATTTATATTAGGGCATAGTCTATGACAAATTTCCAAGTGATCCAACATTAAAAAATAAATGGATCAATCTTTGCCGTCGAAGAGGTAAATGGAATGCAAACTCATCTAGGATATGCCCTGCCTGTTTTACTGTAGACTAGTAAGAGAGATTTACAAGCAGAGTTACTGGACTTGCCTCATAAAAAGGTTAGTTATTTGTGTTTCTGTAGGTTTCTGTATAATTATTTCATGCATAACTGTGTTATGCATGAGATGTGTTCTGTAAATTACATTTGGAAATGTATTTACTTATGCATTAATTTAGACTAAGCTTTTATTTTTATTATTTAGTTAGAGACTGAAATTTCCTTCTTGCAAATTTTTAACTTCATTTGAACCAAAAAGTCAAAAAGTATTAGTATTTTCGGTTATTGTTTTTAAAGATGCACTCAAAAGTTGCAATTTAAAATACTAAAATAACTGAAAATCATTCAACCATTAAAGAAGTTAATTGTATAGGTTATTTTTTATAATGTAACAGAATCCCGTAGTTTAATAAATTTCTGCATTTAGAGAACTATACGTTTCAAGAATCCTGAACTGTATTTTAATTGAAATTAATAGATATAATTTTCTGAAATATGATAGATGTTAAAATACTGAGCTGAATCTATTAATTAGCTAATTCTTAATTTATGTTACAAATGAATTAATAGGTATTTTATTATGATTTTAGGTACTGAGGAAAACGGCTGTTCCTTCGCTATTTATTTTGTCAAAGGATTCTCTTGACCAAGAATGTAATTCACGACACAAACGCCATTTCAGTGACCATCATGCCCTTCATTTGCTAGAAAAAGCTTCCTCTGGAAACTACGTTGGAACATTCGTAAAAAGTTACAGTAGTGAAGCTCTGGAATAGAAAATATTAGAAAAACTTTCCTGCCTAGATGTACAGAAAGAAAACATTGAGCAAGAAAATGAAATTAACACTTTACAGAAAATGTTAAAATCTGCCAATGATACAAGTTGCTTCCTGAAGAAACAACTGAGGCATTTGAAAAAGGAAATGACGCAGTTGAGAAGAGAAGTTTAGAAATGCCATTAAATGTACAAAACTTTCCAGCGCAGTAAAAAAAAAAAAAAAAAAAAAAAAAAAAAAAAAAAACTTTTACTAAATCACAGTAAGAGTTGCTCATTGATCAGAAAAGGAAAGTAGGATGGCATGACGAAACATTGTCAACTGCATTTACATTATGCTTGTTTGAAATTAATTAATTTCTTAACTTATTTTAATAACTTCGGACGAATGGAAATATATTTCGCAGAGAAAACCTTTTTAATTAACAATGAACTTATTTATTTTAGCATTCTAAACATATAAAAAAAGGAACATTGCGTGTGGTATCACGCTCATATAAACAAAAACATCACTGTTGCCACAACTATTTTTTCATATCATTGGGAGGAATTGGATCAGACCATTTTAATTTTTGTGTCCACAGATTTTGTAGAAATATCTTTGCCCTTGTAATCACTGGACCAATTAGTCCGAGAGAATCAAACAGCCTTGCTATGGTAGATAGAACATGTCTTTTTGTGAAACTTGCCTTTGATTCTATATTAACCTTAAAGGTTAAATTATCGGAATTACATGTCCAAAGCATGCCGAGAGTTTTCACAAGATGAGAATCTGAAGAAAAGTTATATTCAGTAGCCTTGTTGTCGTTTAACAAGTCTGTATGGTTTGAAACCCATTTATGTAATTGCATGCCACCCTTGTTCAATAGATTTATTAATTCAAATTGCAAAGAAATTGTGTCTTCTAAATTTTCTGAACCTGATAAAATATCTACGTAGACGTCGGTAAATAAAACTGCGGAAGCACGGGGAAAACACACTTGCTCCTCCTCAGCTAAAGCTTTTAAAGTTCTAGTGGCCAAATACGGGGCACATGTTGTACCATATGTAATTGTTTTCAGTCTGTACGTTTCAACAGGTGAGCACGAACTTGATTTCCACAAAATTCTCTGCAGTTCTCTATCAGTTTCTTCAACAAGGATTTGCCTGTACATTTTAGTACTGCCTGTGCTTAATACATATGTATGTGTTCGAAAATGAGTTACTATTGAAAATAGATCTTGCTGCATAGTTCCACCATTGAGTAATAAGGAGTTGAGACTTACTCCATTTGCGCACTTAGCTGATGCATCAAACACGACGCGAAGAGGGGTAGAAATGCTTTCTGGACGGAATACTGCGTGATGTGGGATGTAATAATTTTCACTAGAGTTCTCGCAGTTTGAAATAACCTTTTCCATATGATTTAATGCAAGATGTTCATCCATGAATGCCGTATATAAAGCGGACATAGTTTGATTTTTGTCCAGTTTGTTCCAGA